CGAGCCGCGAAGCGCAGTTTAAACCGGATGTGACGTCATTTTTTGTTGGATGATGCCTATACGAAAATTTCAGGAGTCTTCTGCCCCGCCCCTGTGCTTTGAGTAACCCGGCCCAGATCGATGAGTTAACCATAGTGAGTCGCTCGCTTCTACGTTACATTCCATGACGCGTACATAAAGAGAGTTTGTGTTTTTCCAAAATGGTGGACAAAGATGGACGAAATTTTCGTGCATTTTATTACGATACCTTAGGACTACGAAATGTCGAGCAAAGAAAAGCACTGGAAATATTACTGAAGGATGACCCAATAGGTTGGTAGATAATAGCAGCAATGGTTTCTTCTTTCATGACCTTTCATGTCACTTAAGATCGATATCCTCGTTCTGTGTGTGTAAAATATTCAACCAGCTCGAGTTATCTGCTTCGTTTCAGATGTCGAGCGGATTTCAACTTTTAGCACACGGTTTAGCTTGCCCGCAGTTTACAGAAACCATGTCTGGAAAGTAATTTTAGGTGAGGATAGAGTTCTTTTGGTGCAATTACTAATCAAAGGATCGATGAAAATCTCTCACGTCTGTACATAGTTAACTCGGCAGATATAATAAAGTAAGTAACAAGCTTACCTACGTAATTTTTACGTTTTAAAATTCATTTCGATTCATTTTGTTACACTTATTTTAGTTACATGAATTTCACTTACTTAACGAACTCACAAAATCAGAATACATTAAAGAAATTACAAATTGACATTAAATAACTGGCCGCCCACGGAATTAAAAGCAGTCTGCCATTTTTCAGACTAAAGCATGGTTACAATTACGCATGAGCAGAATATTATTTGCAGCTAAACACATTTAGACAACATTATGCATAAACAGACATTATTTGTAGGCAGTTTTTTGCGGGTCATGTTGTGGGCTCAGGGCCAATGAAAGGGAAGGAAAAAATGCATCAAATGATAATGAAAATTGAAGGAATTCATGCAAAAAGGGCGTATATCACTTTTTGGGCTGATTTTCATTTCTTGCAGGTCGAGCTAATTTTTGGCAGACTGACTTGTTTTGACATAAAAAAAAACATTGTTCTGTAATTGTTTTTGTTGATTTGCGCTTCGTTTTCAAGAAATAGTGTATGCAAAAAACTCTGTTTTCCAAGCAGCATCTTTCAGAGATCTTTTGTTGAATGAAAAACAAAAAAAGTCTTTTGTTTCGCTTATTATTCTTTTTTTCAAAAACTCTAGGGGTTATTCCTCCTTACCAAGATGCACACAAGTTTGTGATACAGCAAAGAAGTGAACATTTTAATGATCTGCGACATGCCTTGAAGGTGATGAGGAAAATATCTGATGATGATGACATACCTTACCAAATGTCTATGATGTATCTGTTAGATGAAGGAGCCTTACGATTTGTAAAAATACCAAAGGTAAAAGAGAGTTAATACCATCTTTTGAGTGACTTTTCTTCACTTTATCAGTGCTTTATCAAAACTACTTGGTAACTTTGTAATTCATCAGAAACTGGAAAGAAAGGCCAAGATAATGAGTGCTGTGGTGCACGTGTTTGCTGACATGTTTGAAGATGAGGTCGATCTTTACTGGATATCTTTCAAGTTTATGAAGTGTTTGGACCAATCAGGAACACAGATGGAAAAACTGGTAACAATACACTTGTTGTCATGCACACAGTGAGGAGAACAATGATAATTTTTATAATAATATCCCTCAGTTACCAGTAGCAATGATTTCAAATGGACTTGTTTTGCTTTTGACATGTGTCAGTTATTTGAAGCCACTCTGAGAGTGTAAATCATTTTCCATACCTGTCAGACATGCAGCATTCTCCAAGTCCCAGGGGCATTTAGTTGGGATGTCACAATATTTTTGGGCAAAAGTCATTGTGGGCAAAGGTTTACATTAATTCCTTCCCGATGATTGGCCAGAAAAATATTTGTCTGGCCAATCAGCGGGTCTAAGCAATTCAAAAGCTTCTGGAACTGGTTCGGTAAGTCCTAAGAGTAATAACTGCGCAGGAGCTGTCCCGCTCTTGATGTAAACTTTCTTCCAAAAATACATGTAACCTTTGGCCAAAAATGTTGCATGGGTCTCCGAAGGTGAACACACATTTGTTATATAGAGATATATCACATAACTTGGCTAGTAAGACGTAGTTATTACATTTATTGAAACCTCAGTTTCTGCAGATAATTCTCGATATTTTTTCGCCTGTATGGTAAGGTAGCTAAAAGGGTTGCTTTGTCTTTTTCGTACTTTAGTCACGCTTTGTTTAGTTGATAGCATTCCAGATCATGAAAATTAATAAAGAGACATTGTTCATAGTTTAGGCACAGAACATGACCCAAAAATGAAATGTCTGCTCATAAAATTAAAAATTTGAAATAAAGCCCTTATTGAAAAAGTGCTGTAATATTGCTTTGTAGGAGAAGTTGACTCAACATTATCTCCAAACTGAGGATGCTCAACTTCATAAGCACTTGTTAAGCATTGACACATTTGATGTGTTACCACTCAAGAGGTTGTGTAAAAATGAATGTCTTTATTACTAAAAGGGGTTCTTGTAAATAAGTCTCCCTTCTCCTAAAAACAAACCCTGGTATCTCTTATTCTCTGATGTCTCATTTCTAAGACATTGCACCCAGTTAGGGTGAAGCTCAGGGCACTAGCAACACAGAATTAAAACAGAGACATTGCTCAAGGCAGATAAAAAATAACATTGAATGACATGACTCAAGTTAAAATTCTGTCAGCAATACATGTATTGATGTGTTGACCTTCCAAAATTACAACATGTCAAAATATGAAAAACGTTAGCAATTGGTGGGGCACTCTCATATATAAAGGACTGGGATGCTGGCCAGAAATTTCGAAAAGAATCCCTAAGAGGTACAGTGGAACCCCGTTAATATGACCACCTTCCGGCCATGGTAAATTGGTCGTATTAATGGGACGGTCGTATTAAAGGGGTTCTTTAAATAACAAAATGACTGTCTGAGCTTTTTTTCGGACCAGAATAAAGTGGCCGTAATAACCAGGTGGTGGTATTAACGGGGTGGTCGTAAGGCGGGGTTCCACTTTACCAAAATCCTGTTTTGTGGGCGTGGCTTAAAATGTTTGTTAGCACTAAGAGATACCAACTCTAAAATGACACTATCTCCTGTCCATTTTTTCAGCTCAATACCCTTAAAGGTACTGCAAAAGCTCCCGCCGTGGACCTTTTGAGGCTAAATGCCCTAAGAGGTACCAAAACTGTATTTTAACCCCTAAAGGATACAACAAGCACCCCCATTCTTTATATATGGGAGCCCCCCCCCTGGGTTTGCAAACATTACAACTGTTTTGCAGTGTAAAAGCTAGTAGACTATGTGTGCTAATCTCTTTGCTAAGTTGGTGGTTTCTCATGTATAATTTGTATTATTATTCAAAGGTGGTTTGAGAGTGGTTTTACAGAGGATATTCCTGATTCATGCATGGAAAGGTTGGTGTTTGCAGTCATTCATTTTGCTTTACCATAGAATTAGCTTAATTTCAGGAAAAACTTTTAATGTTCTTGTAAAACATCTTTGTGGCATTTGAATTTCATGTAGACCATAGGCAGGGTTTTTATGGCTTGACAGGTGTTTGTTGACAAACTGGTACGATATATTTCTCAGTGGATGTTAATGCGACATGTAGGAGCTGAAGTTGTATTTTGATTTTTAAAACTTGGCTAGTAGCACCTTGCTATAAAGTTAGCTTGCTTTTAATAATAATTACCTTGCAAATTCATTTATGCCAACTCTCCCTGATAGATGCCCAAATCTCCTTAGCATAAGATATATTTTTCTGCCAAATTTTGGCCGATTTTTAGCTGGTTTTTTGGGAAAACGTTTTGATATTTCACTGATTTTTGTGGTTTAATTGGCTGAGCTCTAATTTGATTAACCTTCTTTTAGGGTCAAAAAGGTAAAATTGGCAAAATATTAGAAATATAGCTGAACAGAAAACAGTAACGACTGAAAGATTTCAAAGTCCATGAACCAGAATGTCTATAATTTTTGGCTTAATGAAATCAAATTTGAAATTAAACTGTAATTCTCTTTGTTGCTTGACTCCTCCATCCTTGTGATCCGGTAACTCTTCTGTTTTGCCCTGTTGAAACTTGTTATCCAATATCTCTATCTTTGGTGACATTTAGCAATATAATATGAAAACTAAGACAAAGAACTTTGGAGATCTAGTTGAAGACTGTCATTGAGTTAACTGCCACGTTTGCTAGTTACCAGGTTTCACTTAAGCAATGGAACTTTTTTGTGGCCTGGGGCCTGTTTCTCGAAGTTCCCAAAAAGTTTTCGCACCAGAAAGCCAGATCAAGATCTCAAACCTTATGATTACAGAGCTGTTTTATTCGCATATTCTTAATATGAACAGAGATTCTCTTCATACAAGAAATTTCAGGCGTACACACCTCTCTGTTTTTAGATACAGATTAACTAAAAATGGCTTTGTGGACCCGAAAAGTTTCCAGAGCTTTCAAGAAATGGTCCCCTGGTGCTATTATGTGGCTTGAGTTTCTTGTTGATTCTCTCTTCACTTTGATGGTTTTTCTCCATGTGCTCCAGCTTTCCTCCCTCCTGAAATTTGACCTGGCTAAGGAACTAGCATGAAAACCTGTTAGGGTTGATGTGGCTTCCTCTTTAAAATATTGCAAAAAAAATGTATTTCTAAATGAAAGAAAAGTTAAAAATTAGGGTTTAAGTACTTTAAAAATATCAAAGATGTAAAACTATACTGAGAGTAAACAAAGACGGTTGTAATCCATCAAATATTTTTGCTCGCACGTGATTGGTCTAGAAATGCCACGTAACTGAATATTCCCCAGCTAAAACTGAGGAATATCCAAGAGTATTCCCCAATTTTCAAAGCTGCTCCAATTGCAAAAAAGATTTGAAGGATAATAAACGCAATAGCCTCCATTTGGAGCGAACATATGCTCAGATGTTTGTCCTTGGACATTATCTGTTCCTCGAAGCTCACAGTTTTCCTCGAGCTATGCTCTCGGTAAACTGTTCGCTTCTCGGAACAGATAATTTCCGTGGGCAAATATCTGAGCATATTTTCGCTCCAAATGGAGGCTATTGTTTATATATTAACAGGGATGTAGCCAGGATTTTTCAAAGCTGGGGTTACACTGTGTCAAAGTAAGGATACACACCAGATTGTCATGGCTTTTTGCCACCTGTTGTAGGTTATTTGTTTAAAAAAGGCCTCAAAAGTGGGGTAACGGGCACCCCAGGATCCCCCTAGCTTCCTTTGATTAAGATGGATATAAGAGCAACATACTTGAAAAATATGGCTTGCTTATTCAAGATGTGCTATGATATGTCTCCTTTAAACTTTACTTCTTCAAAATGTGCTACTGAAGAAAGTTTAAGATGCTTTCTCAAATACACTCAATCATGATTCACTGTTGTGTAAAGTTCTTGATCTATCATGATTCCTTTCTTGTAGGATCTGGGACAAAGTAGTTTGTGGTTCCAGTAAGATTCTTGTTTTTGTTGCTGTTGGTCTGCTCATGGTGTACAGACATCCCCTACTCATGGAAAAATCTTCTCAGGGTGTGGACAAGTTTTTCTGTAAGGTATGTTGTTTGTTTGTTGTTTGTATCACACAAACTCTCAATTCTGTAAAAACAGATCTGTCGCAAAGGACCAATGAGGCTTTAATCTGCTTCAAACTTCAAGCAGGAGTCAATCTTGTCACTAGTGTTTTTTTTTTTTTTCCGGTCAGCACCCGTAATGCAGACTCTGGCCAGGTCATGAGCATGCGTACAGTGCTCTGCTTGGATTGTCAGCCAATCAGGTTCAAGCTAGAACGACCGGGAGTTGGTTAATCAGGGACTTTCGAGTTGACTACCAGCACAGTTTAACAAATTGACGTCAGTTTTTTAAGCATCTGACCTCTTATTGATAATAAATTGCGTCATAACATTATCAAAGTGGTTCCGCGGTAAACTTTGACAATGTTATGACGCAATTTATCATCAATAAGAAGACAGAGGCATAAAAAACTGACGTCAAGTTTTTTATTTTTTATTTTTTTATTTTTTTAACAATAACAAGACCCCAAAATGGTCAAATGCCGGGAATAAATGAGGGGAAAAGACGCCGTAAACTTGCCGTAAACAAAGATAAGTGAATTTTATTCAAAATGATGCGAACAGTGTCAATACCTTTTCTCGCTTTTTAATTGGCTACTTAAAAAAATCAGTAAAATCCCATTGGTTAAAATGTTAACAGTTCGACAGCTGAAAGTTGAACTGTTGAAAGCTTGCATAAATTACGATTTTATCCGTCTGTACTCTTGTTGATGGTAAAAATGAGCCAATCGGCGTGCAAGAAATTAGACAGTTATTGTAAAAAATTATCGAGGAAGAAAAAAGAATGTATAAAAATTTTGAAAGTAAGTTCAGTGTTGGAGACTAAGGAATAAATGGTGTAGCCAATAATAAGACATAAAGTAACTAAGTAAGATCGATGTGAGTTATTCATTGTTTAAGTCGTTTATTTATTTATTAATCGAAACACTATCTTGTCTGCAGCCTCTACCCGAGGATAACTTTGTGACAGTTGTCAGTAAAGCCATGGAGCTGTGGGATAAACATGGCACTACTGTGATATCTGAGGCACCCACCATGCATTGAATCCAGCGCCGACCTCAATGTCAAGTCGCCACAAGAAACACGTTCGGCCCCAGGCCTTCTGAGCCATTCCTGTTTAAAGACTCTGTTGAGAGGCAGCCAATGAAAAACGCTGCACAAAACTATGTAGTGCACATGTGTTGGCGGGTCTCTCGCGTGAACTCTTGAGAAGAGAAAATTACCGCGCGAAGAAAGAAGCTTTTTAGGCGGGACGACGGGAATTGGATTTCATCTCCATACGTGATGTTTTGTCCGTCAGTAATAGTATAGGGTCGACTAAAGGTAGCAATGCGATCATGAAAGCCGAATATTTACGATAACCCGTAACAAAATGTATGTGAAGAGACGTATGAAAGATACCTTTTTGTGGGCAATTTCTCCCTTGGAATTGAGTATTGAAACAAAAAAAATAATAAAGCAAAAAACAAATAACAGAAAAGAATTTACCAGCTGCTTTATCTTCGGGTGAATCCATGTGAATCTCAGAAGAAAACAAAAAAAGCAAAAACCTTGCGAAGGAAAGCAAGTTCTTGGTTTAAGATGCCTTGCCTTGTTAGTAATACTAAAGAAGAGGGAAACTTTGTGAAGTTCGCTATCTGAAATTAAAAACAGTTTTCTTATGAGGGGATTTTTCCTTCCAACTAGCAATGCAAGATAACGCCATTGTGAGACAAGTCATGGCCGAATAAATAGGCTGATTTAGCAAGAGAACGGGAACGTCACTTGACGACGGCGCGCACAGTACAAATACCCAAATATGGTCAAATTAGAACAGAATCCAGGTTATTCCGCGCGCCCTGCAGTCGTCATCTGACCATATTTGGGTATTTGTACTGCGCGCGCCGTCGTCAAGTGACGTTCCCGTTCTCTTGCTAAATCAGCCTAATAGTGCCTTTTACGACCTTTTACTCCATCTGTACACCCTGCGCGACGGAGATTCTTTTCTCTTTTCCGTCTCTCTCCGAGCAGAAAGAGAAGAGAATATCCTTTTTCAAAGACAACTTGAAACAAATTGTGAAAAGTTGCAGTTTCGACAAGACATTAACATTACTGATGAAAAAAAAATGCTCCTAAAGAAACAAGAGGAAGGTTTCAAGTGAATAATCGAAGGGAGAGAATCGAAATTAATTTTTAGCGATTTTTCCGAGACACGAACTCAGAAGTTGACGTCTATCAGATAGGCTTTTGTACATTATGCTGTTATTTTCCCACTAAAATGCTCCGCCTTAATGCTCCATTTTTCCCACTAAAATGCTCGGTCTCTTCCCAAAAAGTCACTAAAATGCTCGGTTAATGCTCATACATAGGGTTTTTTAAGTTTTAATAATTTTAACGTTTTAACACAATTAACAGCTCAGGGTGCTTATAAAAAACGTATACGTAGCATAACGCAACGTTTTTAATAATACACCAGAAGATAATTCTCTCTGAATGATTTTTTTTTTTATTTGATTTGACTGCTGCTGACCTCTCCTCAGTCTCTACTCAGCTGTATTAGGGTGGCATTTTGAATTTCTTTTTTAATTTTAAATGAAGTCCTCTTTTTCTCGTAAAAATAATTTTTATTTTATTTTCTGGACGTGGAAAACAATTACTTTTCCGGGAAAATGCCACTAAAAAGCTCGAATAATACTTAATGCTTTTGCCTCACTAAAATGCTCGAAAAAATGCTAGCATAATGTACAAAAGCCCACCATCAGACTTTTGTCATTCTCATCCCCGGTGCCACTCGTTTTAAAATGTCGTCACGCTGACCACCTGACCACACAGTCCAGTCAAAAAATACAGGTAATGTTTATCTTGGTTTTCATCAGTGGAAATTTAAATTATGACTTTTAGAGGTCACGGCTGGCATGCTCATAACAGTGTCCCTTTGAAGCGCAAGGAAATTAACAAGATCACAATATTCGAAGCAGTGTCTGGTCTTAAAATAGAATCGGCAAAGCCCAGCGAAGCAATGAATAACGCGGTGACTTCACTTAGCCTGGGAAACAACTCAGGACAGGCTACAATGTAGTAAAAGAAGCGGCTTGGTTGTTGTCGGGCGAAATCAATCGTATTGATTTTTCTATAGAATCGTCAAAACGACGCGCTTCTCCTATTTACAGGAAAAGACGCTATTGGCGGAATAGAGGAAGATTTGACTTGTAAAAAGTTTAAATTTAACCATCTGCAGGCTCATACATACGTGGACTATTTCTGCTTAACCGAAATGCAGGAAAACTAAGTAGTGTTCTGGGACAATGTTGTTTTGTTTGCACGAATGACACCGGAAGTCGGGTTTATATCGGTCGTCTGAACTTTCAGGTTTACCCGGAACATGAGCCCGGAACACAGCAACCTTGCGTGACAAGAACCGGAAAAAATAGATAACGCTTTTCGCGACAAAACCGGAACACAAACTAAAAAACCGCGGTAAATTTTATACCCTGAATAGATGTATTAATCTGCAGATATTTGACGTTTAGATTATATTTAAATGTTCCTTTTTTGTAAGTCACGAGATAGCAGGTAAAATGAAACAAAGCAGTATTTTATTTCGAATGATTTAGTACTCTAAACACGTCTGCCAGTATAAAATTGTATCAGAAGCCGGGCTAGTTTCTCAAACTAATAATCCATTTTAATATTGACTTTTTTGTGTATTTTTGATATACCATCAAGTTCATCGAAGGGAAAGTTGTTCAATCAGTAATCGTTAGTTAAGCGAAATTTTCAAATGTGGCACAATCCAGTTGAAACCAGAAAATAGCACTCCTCACCTAACCTCGGTTAGCTCAATCGTTTGCCATAATAAACGTTTGCCCTAAATCAGGCCTCTTTTTTTATCAAACAGGAGGAAGTAATTTTCAATCGAATACTCGTTTCCTTTTAACTTTAAATTGCGCAATGACTGAGAGCGTTCGACACCGTTTGACGCACCTTTGCACGGCCCAGTTTCACGGAATTTGACAAGAGCGTGACCAAATATTTCTCAGAAATCACATTGTCTTTGTGTTACTATCATTTCACTACGAGCTAAATTTCTGAACACTCTACAATTCTTGAAATGAATCAGAAATAAATTAACGAAAAAAATTGTTTTGCTCGCAACTGGAACTTGAGAAATTTTATTTGGCCTTCAAAATATGCGGACGGTCTTTCGTTTACTGTGTCATCAAACCTACGCAGCTACGTATCATTTCAATGTATCGTTTGCAGGGAACTATTACAATTAGTGCAATTCTGCACGATTCCACTGCCAAATTTAGTGGTCGAATTGATTTTTGTCGAGCTAGCATTGCAGTTGCAGCCCATCACAAATCGCGCGGTGTTAATCAGACCATTTCAAGGCGATTCGGTCGAATATCGCGACCTGTCTGTTACGACGAAAACAACGCCATCATTCTCCATAAAACATGCGTACTATACTCTGTTAAAAAACCTCAGATCTTTCTATCTCGTTTCATAGAAATTCTAGCGACTTCGTTCCGAAATGGCGCTAAAATGAAGCTGGTTTTTGCAGCAGGAACGCGACAAACTCGTAACAATCACCTGTGTAAACAGACCTTAAAATGCCCCGAGGCGATGATTTTACATTTGAAGTCAAACCACAACTCGGCTGTCTCTGTGTGTTCCGACTCAAAAGAGGGTCTTCCTTTCCTGATAAAACTTGTGCAAGCTCGTCTGCTATATGGTTTGCTGCTTAGTAAAGGGACTCACGTTCAGTCCCTGCAGCATTCAGTTCCGTTTTGCTGCAGTTAATTGCAGTATACTGGACCATACAGGATGATTCTTTGTTTGTTAACGAGTTAACAGGAACACGAAATTATGGATTGTTTTGACGAAGAAGGGATAGTTCCACTTTAACTTCACGCTCCTTCTACTTTCTAAAGAAACATCGTCGTGACAACATGACAACCCGCGATAATTTTAAGACATTTTCTGAGAAGAAGTGCTGGTAATAAAAGTTGAATGTTTCCCGGAGCTGTGCAGCGATTGTCCGTCACGCACAGCAGCACAATCATATTTTTAGGTAGCGTACTAACTATACTGCGTTTTAATCAAAGCTGAAACTGCACTGATTTCTATCAAAACTGAAAACGAGAATTTGAGGAAAAAAAAAAAAAAANGTAAGTAAAGTTCACTGACAGCCTCTTTGAAATGCATTCTGGTAAGAACTTTTTCTGAGTTAACTACAATCTTCAAGGTCCAGGGAGACATCGGATCAAACTTTGTCTGAGGCAATGTATGTTGTCAATGTTAATATATGTCAAAAATAGAAAAAAAAAAAAAAAAAAAACAGCTTAATACAGGACACCAGCCTTGTTACACGCGTCGCTTATTTCATTTGCTTTGATTTCTCTAGGGACGCGTTTGAATATAATGAATTTCTCCGAAACCAGACGTGGGTGAAAATGCGTATTAACTGAATTCTTAGCGGGCAAGCCCACCATAAAAACAATACGAGGAAAAGATGAATAGTAAACGACTTGTTAACGCCCAGAAAACAATCCGTTACAGTTGTTCCAAATATGCAATTTGCGTAGTTTCTACTCGTGACCAGCTTGTGAGCGCAGGTTTATTGTTCCGGGTTAATCTCGTGCCTGGGATCTCTATATTACGATCAGTTTTCTTCCCTTTAGATTAAAGTCCGGACAGAACCCGTGCTGCACTGGTGATCCCAATTTTATACAGCTACTCTGATTAGTTAATCATGAATTATTGCTGTTAATGCGCCATTTGAGAGCGGGACTACCTTGACATCATGGTAAGATCTAGTAGCTTTGATGTGAAGTTCTTAAGTTGCTTCTTTTATTTCATATTAACAAGACCAGTCAACAGCACTTGTGCAGTAAGCCTTTTTTCGTGGATGTTGCAATGTTTTTGGAATTTAATACGGTTCTACAGCTTTTTTGAACTATTTCCAAACTTCTATATCGTTTTCAAGCACTTGACGATTGCGTGACATTCGAAACGGTACTCGGTACCGGAAGCACATTACATATGCAGGTTTTTCCAGGAATCGCGTAGCTGTTCTTAGAAGAAAAAGCGAAAACAGAAAAATCAATATTTACCATAATTGCGCGCAATGTTTTGATGCTTAAAATAGATTTCTCGTTCCCACTCTTGGGAGTTTCCCATCAAAGTAAGGGATCTATAAAAAAGCCCCGGGAACATGTGTCTCAATCACAAGGCGCGAAACCATGCAAAACGAACATCTTTGGCGAAATTTAAGTACAAGAACAATGTCTGCCGACTTTGACGGAGGATATCAACAACAGAATTTTAATCAAGAATTCTCAGCTAGTTTTAATCACGATCTTTTTTCAAGCAATAGCGTAAGTATTATAAAGCATGAACAATTTCCGAAGGTTTTCGCTAGGGGAAACGGTTCGGAAGGCTTCTACAATTTAGAAACGATCCCTCCAAGCGATGATATCGGAAATAGTCTGTTAACGAAGGGAAGAGGCATTAGTAGCTCAGTTTTTGTTGAAATGATGATTTAAAGCGGCGAAAACTTCAAAATTTGCGAATTTAATCGTTCGTAGTCGAATTCAAGTACACGGCGATAACCTTGTGATTTCCAAGACTTCACGGTTGAGAGGAAGAAGTAATGCACGGGACAGCGATGGAAAAAATTGGCCGCTTCTGATACCGAGCCCTCCTTAACTATGTTATATCTTGGTCTTTTCCACGAAGAATTTTGTCATCGAATAATTTTAATACTGTACACTGAAATGTGCAAACAAACAAAGGCGAATTTTATCATGTGAGTCCAGCCTTGCATTTCGTCATATTTCGATGACCACAACCCATTATGTAAGTATCTAATGACAATGTACTCTTTTATTCTTGCATACAGTCGCTACTCTTCAGTAACACTGAAACAACAGAAGGCAATGGCGAGATCGATCAGCCCGAAACTACCCAGGTGAAAATGGAATTGAAGGAGAGGATTAAATTGAAATTCTTGGAGAGAGGCACTGAAATACCCAAGATAGAGGAAATGACGAGAACTGAACCACCAAAACCTGTAAGTTGCCGCTAGAATTAAGTGAATATTTTTTACGGGACAAGCACAACACGGATCGACTTCCATGAGCGATCGTTTTAAGTAAATAACCAACTTGAATAACTGGATGCCCCAAAGTTCGTTTATGAAACCGCATTGTCAGTTTTGTAAGTGACAATGATGGGGCTGCGATCCTATGTCCCGCCTGAATTTGTTCATTTTGTTTCGCTGTTTTGCTCAAAACATATCCGACGTGAAAGGAGCTCTCATTTTCTTGGAGTCGTTATTTTAAAATGTTGCTATTAGATGAATTTATTATCAAGTTGTATGAACTTAACGGTGTTAAACTGGATAGTCTAAAGTTCGTTTTATATCACAATAATAGTATTGAGCTGAGAACAGTTGTTTTCAAATGTAGCTTCTTTGCTAGGTTTTTCCACTATGTCGAAGTTGGAAAAAGAAATAATTATAAAAACTGAAATGTTCCTTGCTTTGTATGCGTTCTTTAGAACTTCGAACGAAACTCAAGTGCAATATTTCAGTTTTTACTATTCAGTCGAGTTCCCTTCTACGCGTGCTGTGTTTCGTTTTCAGTTTGGCGGGGACATCGATCCGCAAACAACCTGCTCGTCATTAAATGGGGTTTCAGGGGATAGTAGGGGAAACTGAAGATTTGTTTTTAGGTCTTTTTGCAATACGGAATATCCCGAATATATTTTTCTATACTTATACACTGAAAAAAAACCCTTCTAATCTTCATTAATGATTTGCCACACCTGGTTTGCGTTTTAAATAGAGAATTAAAGAAGAAGACCCCGAAGTCATCAAGAAAAGGAGGGAGCGAAACAAGATCGCCGCCATGAAATGCCGGAGACTAAAGAGGGAGCGAATCGAAAAGTTAGAAAAGGTACAACTCCCTACCACTATACCGAGCAAGACGTTTGCTCATGCGACTGAAATAAAAGGCAAGAATACGCAGTCAGACTAATCAAAGGGCCTTTTCTTGGGAACTTAATTTTACAGTTTTAATTGAATACGGGAAAACACTCAAGAGATACTTTTGTTACTAGAAACGAATTTAGAAGAGAGGACTTATTTGTAATTGCACTCTAGCCGCCTCATACGGCAACGTGCGTACCATGCATCTTCAAAGACGAGTCACTTTAGGGGGTGATTACTTTAAGAATTCCATCCCGGTGCTGAAATTTCAAGCCAGTAAGGGACCTGAATTTTGTTGGATCTCAGAACATGTCACCCTGGGCTGACTAAAACTCTTTTCCTTTGTATCCGCCATCTTTTTTTATTGTAAACACAATCACTACGCATGCACAAGTTTCTTGTCAGCCCGCTTTGAGAATTCCATTCGCATTACGTGTTACCGGGCTGGAATTCCCCGTGTGATCATCCCCTCTCAAAAAAGACAACTGAGAACAGATTTGGTTTACATCAACTGTATCAAATGATAGCTGCGGAGAATTGGTAAAAATTTTAATTGTCTTTTATATTAGCTTTCTTCTTTTTTTTTCCATTTCTATTTTCGCAAATTTCTTTGTTTTGCATATATGCTACTAGACTTTTCATTTCTTAAACCTCATTTGATTGTCACAAGAAATTTTGTCTTTACCTCTTTCATCCCGTTGGGGAGCTCTCCGATTGGTTTAGAAGACTTCTGCGTGTCGCGTTCTGCAGCCAATCAGGTGTTTGCCCAATCTTTTTTCAACCAATCAGAAGCGTTCGCCTGCGCGCGTCACTGTTTGCCTTTCGTTTCTGTTCCAAGTTGTTATTGGACTTTTTTGGCTTGTTACGTCGTATGTTTTGATTGGTTGAATTGCTTGCCCAAAGAACGCCTGCGTAGGAGGCTTGGGATGGCTACTTATTAACCGTGAGTGAAGTCTTTACGGGAAAATCTCGATACGGCAAGGCCGAGATTTGGGATTTCCCCGTTAAGACCGAACGTTCGAGGTCAATAAGTTTATTATATGGCTTTTCGCTTTGTTTCTGCAGACCCGCAATTCCCATAATGCCCGGGTCGGGAATTAGCTGATCAGTGCGCGCGTCTATTTTGGCTACAAACACGAGCCACATGATAAATACAATTAATGTAATCTATTTCATGACTGGGTTTACATGTACGAACTAATAGATATTTTGTTTGATTGCAGCGGACAAACAAATTGGAAGAAAGCAATAGGAAAATGCAACAAGAAAAAGAGTATCTTAAGAAGGAATTTCAACGTCTTTCCAGCTACTTAAGACACCACTCCTGCGCGCGTAACCCAACAGGAAGCTATGGAGACACTTGGAACACATCGTTATGTGGCGCACGGGTTCCACCTGATCCTGATGTTTTAATGTACGTCAATGTCGAACAATAGACCTCTCTCTCTAAGCAACCCTTGGCTTGAACAATTCAGTGAACTTATGTTAAGCTTTTAACTTATTCTATCTTACAGATATATACTGATTTAAACTCTTTGGATTTCCGAAGGTGCCCTTAGGATTATTAAGAATTAAGCCAGTCCCGTCTCGGCCCACAATACCGTTTTCGCATCGTCTTCTAAAGCGAGGACAATCACAACACCATATCCAAGGCTGGATGTTTTTCCTTTGTCTTGGAAGGGAACGAGATGGACTAGATCGAACGTAGTAATTTCATTGTTTTTGCTGTCCATCCAAACAAATCTGTCAGATGTGGTCCGATTTTCGTCGGTGAAAACTTAGTGGTGTAAACGATCTTTTTTTGACATTAAGAAGGGAACGTAAAACAAATAGGAAGAACTGAAGATCGTGTACGTATGGCAGCATCTTTCCTAGTCATCTTTTCTAGGCGAGCCTGTTTCATAACCTTTAAAATAAACTTAGTAAACACTTGTAGACGAATAATTGATTAAAAATAAAACGGAAAAAAGAAAAAAACCCCGCCAATTTTGTCAGGCATAAATATGGAAATAACTAATATCAATAACTACCAGCGTCAATGACAGTACACCATGAACATTTTTCTCGGTTTCTCTGTCTAAAGAGTGTTTCTAAAATCCCAAATGCGAATCCCCCTTTTCAAATGGCAGCTTCTCTACCAAAACGACCAAGGTTCGACAATTATGCGACAAGG